CTCGCGCGACGGGGTTTAGACAATGTCTCAGTATTATTTCGATAAATAAATTCTACGGAATTTAGACGAATCCATAGCTATCGTTTCACGCGTCACGTCAATTACTTAGGGATAATAAATATGCCGGTGGATCAATGGTAAAAAGAACAACTTAGACCGGTCAACAAAGTCCTTATAAAAATTTACCACAAGGCGAGTTAGAAATTCCACGAAAGTTGACACGGCGAAAGTACACTTAGAAGTAGGGTGGATCGCAAATAAAATTACAGCAGAGATAACTCCATTCATGTAGCAAAAGGAATCCACGAGTCAGTGACGGTATAGTAGATAGTAAGTAGGTAATAGTCAGTAGTAGTAAGTAGTAAGCAAGGAGTAGTACAGGAGTAGTAATAGCTTGTCGTAGCGGACAAAACAGAAAAATTGAATAACCCTAACGACGAGTACCAACCACACATGGGTAACGGTAACAATAACTAACAACAGGAACGTGTTGTGTACCAACAGTTTGTTTACGTCCAACATCAACGTAACCACATGACTGTCCTTCTAGTGTTTTGACAATTTTGTCCTTACGGAGTAAGTGACTTGCCGCCTAAGACAAAAGTATCTTAGTTCGTGTCCTTCCTACGACTTCGTCTTTTTGTTTTTGTACAAACTTCAAGACCCAGTCATTTCGTAGTTGACCGGGTTTTTAATCATCCCCTGGTATGGTTGACTCGAGAGACTTGATGGATGTGTTAGTTGGAGACTAGAGGACAACCTGACCGTCTAGTGTCATCTCGGTGTAAGTTGGTAGGTCGACGCGCTGTTTTGACTAGCGCGTCTCGTACGACCCATCACCTCGTCGAGGCAATAGGGCCTAGAGAAAAGGACATACAAAATTTGACGATACCGTACAACGACACGCTCAAAACACACTCACCTGATTGTGAATTAGGTTAGGGAACAAGAGGTCATATGCCGACGAGGGGGGGGGGGGGGGTTATAGCAACGCAGTGGGAAACATCCTATATACTGTGGTATTGTATCACACATTTAACAGAGACTGGGGTCGGTACATGTCCCCAGGTCTGTTATTCCAATGAGTGAAAACTGATGTAGTTGCAATTTTATTTATACCTCGTATGAGGTTTAATGTACATATAATAAACATTATAATATTGTTTGTTAGACGCTTCTCCGACTTGAAATTCATTCATAGAAGAATTGTTACACATATAACTAATAGACATAGAGACAGTATCCGGTTTAGCACGATCTCATTGTTTCCCACTTCTTTGTACTCTAACAATCAGTAAACACAGACATCAAGTTAATTTAGAAAGTAATATTTCTCGTAAACTAACAACAAACGTGCGTATGAAGGAGGTCTTACAATAAATTATCGTAATTAACTAGTAATAAAAAAACGTTCACACGTCTTCCCCTTATTACGTTAATTTTAGGAAAGTAGGAATTATAATGTCATTTAGACTAGGAAAGACTATTGGATCACGCTGAGACCCGGGGGAGGTTATATGTAGTCCATAATTGGTGGTGCGATGTCACCGGAAGAAGTCTGTGCGAGACCGAACTACCACTATTTTCTGGCAACGTGGGAGCCAAAAAAAAAATTTTTTCTTGAGAAAAGGACGTACAAATAATACAACACAAGGGACTCATCCTGATTTAATTTTTTCTGCACGACATGACTGATGTACTTGTCGCACGGAAACAACTTCAGTCTAAGAGTTTCATTAGGCGAGACGTCAGTGAGACTCCCACTGTGATACTCTAGAGACGACGTATTGTTGGTCGACCAGGACGTTGTGTACGCCTCGACGGCGTAGTAGTCTTGGTTCTATGAAATAAGTAGTCCCCCCATCCACAAGAAAACTTCTAACGTGGGTATAAAATCTTATTTTATTTATTTACAACTATTTTGTATTTCTTCAACTTCACTTCTTACCCGCTTATGTTTCAGGAACACCCGGGGTGTCCCTGTGAATACTACTTCTGAGTCCGGTACTACTTCTGGGTTTCGGAGTACCACTTCTGTACTACTTTGAGTCCGAGTACTAACTTCTGTAACTACTTCTGAGTCCAGGACTACTTCTGACTTCCGGAGGTACAATACTTCTGTACTACTTCCTGAAGTCCGAGTACCTACTTGTAACTAGGTCCGAGTACTTAGCTTCCTGTACTACTTCCTGAGTCCCGAGTCTACTACGGTTCTAGTCCGAGTACTTACTTCTGTACTAATCTCTGAGTCCGAGCGTACCACTTCTGAGTCCGGAGTACCTACTTCCTGAGTCCGAGTACTACTTCTGCAGTGAGTTACTACTTCTCGTACTACTTTCTAGGCATCTGAGTCACTACTTCTGTACTACTTCTGAGTCCGAGTACACACCTTCTGAGTCCGAGTACTACTTCTGAGTCCGAGGTGCTACTTCTCGAGTCTGAGTACTACTTCTGTACTACTTCTGAGTCTGAGTACTGACTTTCTGGTTACTGCTTGCTGACGTCTCGGTACCATACTTCTGAGTCCCCGAGTACTAACTTCTCGAGTTGAGTACTACTTTCTGTACTACTTCCTGAGTCCTGAGTACTACTTCTGTACTACTTGATCCCTACTTCTGAGTGCGCGAGTCTACTTCTTGAGTCCTGTAAGGACTACTTCCCTGAGTCTGAGGTACTACTTCCTGTACTGTTCTGAGTCGAGTACTACTTCTGTACTTACTTCTGAAGTCGAGTACTACTTCTGAGTCACGAGTACTACTCTGTACCACTTCTGAGTCTGAGTACTACTTCTGTACTCACCTTCTGAGTGCGCCGAGCACCCTACTTCTGAGTCCCCCGGGACAAAAAAAAAAAGGGGTACCCCCTACTTCTGAGTTCCGCAGTACTACTTCTGTACTACTTCCTGACTACTTTGTAACTACTTCTGTACTACTTCTGAGTAGCGAGTACTATTCTGAGGTCGAGTACTACTTCTGAGTCCGAGTACCTACTTCTGTACTACTTTGTACTTACTTCTGAGTCGCCGGAGTACTACTTCTGTACTAACTCCGAGTCCGAGTAACTAGCTTCGTGTTACTGATTGCTGAGTCCGAGTACTACTCTCTGTACTACTTCTGGAGTACGAGTACTACTTCTGACGTCCGAGTACTACTTCCTGAGTTCCTGAGTACTAATTCTGTACTACTTCTGAGTCCGAGTTACTACCTTCTGTACTAACTTCTGTACTACGTCTGAGTCCGAGTACTAACTTTCTGTACTACTTCTGAGTCACTATATGTGCTTACTACTTCTGTACTACTTCTGAGTCTGAGTACTACTCTGTGACTACTTCTGAGTCCGAGTCTACTACTTTCTGTACTACTTTCCTGTAGTCCGAGGTACTACTTTGTACTACTTCTGTACTACTTCTGTACTACTTCTGAGTCTGAGTACCTACTTCTGTACTACTTCTGAGTCCCGAGGACTACTTCCTGTTACTACATTCTGAGTCCAAGGACTACTTCTGAGTCCGAGTACTACTTCTGTACCTAACTTCTGAGTCCGAGTACTACTTATTGAGTCCGAGTACTACTTGCTGTACCGTACTCGTCTGGTACTACTTCTGGCGTCCGAGTACTACTTCTGTACTACCTTCTGAAGTCCGAGTCTACAATTCGAGAGCCAGATTTAAGGGACAGTTGGGATTTGTCAGGCTACGGAGATACCGTAAGATGACAACGTAATTGAGATATAATCTATAGACAGACGCAAAGACAGTCTCACCATTTATTTGGTTGGGCCCACACCGACAATAATTAGTGTGAGAGATGGAACAAAGGACTGACTACCATAAACTTAACTCGTTATAATCCAGCTTCGGCGTATTAGGACGAAATAGGCTGGTAAAGAATCGAGTGGAAAACTTTCATGACAATGATCTGATTGTTTCGTAATCAGTTTTCGAGGACGTAGCGTCCCTTTGATGACATCACCGAATCGGGTGTAAATTCCTCTCTAAAGGTGGTTAATCTGTTCTTAGCAAAATTAGCAGTAGTAATATGCTACATGTTACTCTATGTATTATTTACGAGAGGGAAAGTTCACGGTAGAAAAATTTTTTTGTTTTTGTTTTTGTAGTGTTGTAATCTTCTGTTGTTTTATGTGTGTCGTATGTACGTATGTGATGAATCCTATTTCCGTTATTTCCTTATTCCCTTATTTCACGTCATTGATACAGGTCCTCATATTTTATGTTCTAGACGATGTATGTCTATGTATTATTAGGTAGATTATTATCACAGAATAAATATGGTGATTATGGTATGTAGTTAGTATGTTACTGCATGGAATGATGACATTATGGACGATGTCTCGAGTGTAACCGGAAGTGTACCTAAATCGCACAATTTCTCGTTACTACCGAGAACCCCTTTTTGAAGAAACACAGACACCAAAACCTACACTATGGGTGGACATGGGACGGCCTCCGTCGTCCAACTCTGTCACTTTCGGCCAACTTGACAGGAATTGACAAAAACCGAGATGAGTCCGTCGCCCTCCTACGATTTATACAGGGTAGTCCCTCCCCCTCTCCGTCGCGTACTAAGGAGAACACCGACGAAAAATGCCTGAGAGACGCCTCGGAGTACGAACAGCCGGAGTCACGTCGACCGCGATGGTGTACTACTACGTCATAGAGGTCATCCGAGAGCTACCATCTCGCCATCTTCCAGTGGTCAGTCGAAATCACCCGGGTTCAACAATAAGGACTCGTGGGAGTCTTCACGGTCTGCGACGACCCGGACAGAACTACTGTCGACACCACAACAGGAGGTCCTTTCCAACCAACCACTACTCCTGGCTTCCTGAACTTCCACACCTGGGAGAGGGTGTGTGAGCGCAATTACAGCTCCCCCTCTCCAGCCCATCCCTAAGAGGACCTCAGATGCTACTAAGACAACAAAAACACCCCAAGTCACGGTACCAACAAGGGTGACTTTGTGGTGCGACTCCGCGAAGTCATGAGTGAGGACATTCCGGCTAGCAAGAGAGGACTCTACTCCGAGGTGGTGCACCACAGTCAGTTTTGAACTGCTACCTACAAGAGGTCCCCACCCGACAATGACGTCAGGCACCCACATCTCGCTCATGTCCTCTCCCCAGTCGTGTGTCGGGACTCCTCTCGGCCACGAATCTCAAAGACCCACGTCCTCACTACCGGTTCCAGAGTGTGCACCCCCGCCAATCACTCCTTTAGAACTAGGCCTTTGGTCCACCCACCCCCTTCCGGATCCATACTATCGCAAACGTTTTATCTTTCAGGCCCTACTAACACAACTTGTGACTCGAACATCAGTTATTTACTCGTTAGACTGCATTCGAGGGTGCTAACGGAGGTCCACCGAGTCACGTCTCACTTCTCGATACCGATGACCGTGAAGAAGTCACCTAATAAACGAGACATCCGTTTTGACCACACCAAGAAACTTCCCCACCCCCCTTCGTCCGGAAATACACTACATTTGGTCGAGAGTTTTGTGAACGTACTAGTGTCCACACTCACGTACCTCGGCCATCAGTAATTCCGACAGACCACCCAACGAAAGAATCCTGTCCTTTCTTCACCGTCAAAAACCTTCCGGTCCCCACCCCTATTGTCGCTCAAAGTGCCCTCTCCTAATTTTCTACGACCTTTCCGGAAGACTCTTCGACCAACGTGTGCGAGACTCGTGGAAAGGTCCATGACGGTAGACCTGGTCGTCACGAAGGACCACAAGTGACGATAACTCGTGGGGCAGGATGGTAGTACGAGGAGGGTGTCATTCGACCCCCACGACCTCCGCCAACCCCCGACCCCACCTCATGAATTGAGCTATCGTACACACCGTACATACAATTCCCTCCTTTCGAATAATGTTTTACATGTCGGTGGGGTTTCAACCAAGTACAACACTATCACGATGTCTAGCGACGCTTATTTTAATCTGAGGACAACGAGGAAACTTTTTCTTATTTATTTGGTTTATCTAAATCGAGGTACCGTGACTTCACGGCTTTGGGCGTTTTTATTTCGTTTTTCAGTCTGTGCAACTTTTCTATACCGCAAGCGTGATATTGAACTTCTCTAGAGCAAACTTAACCGTACTCAATGATGAGTTACTTAGTATTCGTTGTCGTGGCACGCAATTTCGGCTCTCGTCCGGATGAATGAGAAGTAATTATCTACTCTTATTCCTTCATTACGGCCTCTAAAGAAAAGTCTGACATCGGTCCGACTGTCCTCTCGGTGTCGAGCTGTACTCGGAAGATAAGGGTATCGTGAGGTACCATATTACTACAAATCCACACGAAGAAATTGCTATTGTTAACACATCGAGAATCTTTGTTTTACTTACCTGGAGAACGGAAACTGGTCAGTATCATAATAGTTGTCGAGGCCGTTTGCATTCGAGATTATAGATGTGATCTATCATTGACTGTACGAAAAGTCGGCTACTTTGAACTTGTCCAATTTAAGTTACTAAGAGAGAAGATTTGGTAGTTGCACATAGAATCTGGGCTAAGGTTGATTCGACAATTTTCTTCAAAAAGGTAATAACGGAGTCGAAGAATAATTTATAATACTTATAGCAGAAATAATAGTCCGATACAGGTGTTAGTAAGTTTCCATCCGTCACTCTTTTGCGAAGAATTTTTTCGTGTTGGAGCTAGGTCTCCAAAATTCGGTTGATATCTGGATAAAGATTAGAAGGCAAGGAGAGTTTTTCATAACTTTTCTTCAACGTTTATTGTAGACACAACAGATGACCCATTTTTTGTTTACTAAATAAACCTCTAAAAGTCAGACCGTAGAGATCTTGTGTTTGTATCGTGGTCTCTGTCGCAGACCAATTTCACGTGTTTGACTGGAAGAATTATCGAGTCTGTTCCCTTGAACCAGAGCATAAAACGAGCAACAACGAGCTAGGAGTCACGCACGTAAACTATGATACTGGCTACTACTACGGATAACGTTTCTGATCTCGTCAATCAAACCGGTATTCCCTTGACCGAAAATCCGACCAAATGAGGTTGTTACTTAGAAGGTGCGTTTGTTGGCTTTCAAATCGGTACCTCACGGTGTCCGAGTAGCAAACGAGCCTGGATAAAACAAGTGTAGATATATACGAAGGGCAATCTTATAATATTACTTAGTAAGACATTTAAAAGTCACAACTACGCCTTACTAAGCGAGTTGATACTAAATAATTAGTTCGGACCTACTTTACATTAGTAGATTTATTTTAAGTCTGACGGAGTTCCTGAATTTTGCACCTACTGGAATCTTGATAAAACTACAATTTGTGCTGTAATTGACTTCAATGAACATGAACGGTTTTCTGATGCTTTGTTTTAATAGATTTCTATATGATTGATACCGTACCGTAATTTAAACCGAGGTAACTCTGACATTCCTAGAACCACAATATAAACTAGCCAAATAGAAATTGCGGGGGGTGTATTTTTAGTTAAAGTTCCTTGCGGATGAAGGTAGATAGATTGCTAACATTTTTAGTCCGCGTATAGAACGGAAAACAAAAAACGTAAACACATAACTAAACAAATGAATTTCACACTAAACAAGAGGAAAAATAAACAAACAACATCGGTTCTT